CTAAAAATCAGGATAATAATATTCCCTAAAAACTCAAGAGTGCAAGTATAGTCAGGCAAGGAATTCTGGAGGGAAAATCAGGATTATTTCCCTTAAAATCGCCTCATTCCCAGAGCTGGAGTCGTTCCCATCGGGTGCGGAGTTGGGAGATCCAACCCCTTTATTCCAAACTGGGATTTCCGGGTGCAGAAATTCCCCCCAGGACCCACTCCCTAAGTCCCAAAAAAATCCCCAAAAATCCCTAAAAATCTCTAAAAATCCCAAAAAATCACTAAAAATCCCTAAAAATCGCAAAAAAACCCTAAAAATCCCCAAAATCCCTAAAAATAAAAAAAATCCTAAAAATCCCTAAAATTCCCTAAAAACCCAAAAAAATCCCAAAAATCCCTAAAAATCCCTAAAATCAAAAAAAATCCCCAAAGAATCCCTAAAAATTAAAAAAAATCCCTAAAAATCAAAAAAAAAAAGCCAAATCCCTAAAAATCCCCCCAAAATCCCTAAAAATAAAAAAAATCCTAAAAAATCCCTAAAAATCCCTAAAAATCAAACCAAATCCCTAAAATCCCTAAGAATCCCAAAAAATCCCCCAAAAATCCCTAGAAAATCAAAAACATCCCTAAAAATCAAAAAAATCCCAAAAAATCCCTAAAAATCCCAAAAAATTCCTAAAAATCCCAAGAAATCCCTAAAAATCCCTAAAAATAAAAAAAAATCCCCAAAAATCCCTAAAAAAACCAAAAAAATCCCCAAAATCCCTAAAAATCCAAAAATCCCTAAAAACCCCAAAAATCCCTAAAAATCCCCCAAAATCCAAAAAAAATCCCTAAAAAAATCCTAAAAAATCCCTAACAATGCCAAAAACCCCTAAAAATCCCCCAAAAATGAAAAAAATCACTAAAAATCCCTAAAAATCCCAAATATCCCAAAAAATCCTTAAAAATCCAAAAAAATTCCTAAAAATCCCAAGAAATCCCTAAAAATCCCAAAAATCCCTAAAAATCCCCCCAAATCCCCAAAAAATCCCAAAAAATCCCTAACAATGCCAAAAACCCCTAAAAATC